CAACTAATTGAAAGACTACTTTAAAACAAATTCAATGAGTAAATGTTTCGAATTTTTATACTCTTTTTGCCAAAAAAAAAACAATTTGTGTCTGTGAAGTCCAGAACGCAAGCGTATTCAAAAGAAACATACTGACTTTGAAGTTGTGTAAACCAAATTCATTTTAAAGTAGTTTAAATTAAATGCAGAGTCTGACAGTCGACTTTCTGCTTACACACAATTCAAACTGAACATTTGAAAGCACATTTACATGTCTGGCTGTAGCTGAGCGTGCAAAGATGTTTGCTACAGTTGGTCGCAGCCAAGAATGCCCATGTTCAAATCACATTTAATTTTACATTTTTAATTTCGGTTTTTCTTAGTTATGAAAAAACATCTATGAAGTGCAGAACGAAAGCGCATTCAAACGAAACATACTGACTTTGAAGTTGTTTAAGCCAAATTCATTTTAAAGTAGTTGAAAATACATGCAGGAAAAGTCAATTGACTGCTTCCTAGGACATCGCCATGTTAAATAAATGAGTTCGTTGCAGGTAAAATAATGAGAATTTCAATTAGTTGTCATTGAAAATAAAGTAGTTTATAAATTACTTTTAAATTAATTCAATTTACTGAAGGGTTATTACTTTATTCAACCAATATAAAAGAAGTTAACTATAATTCGCTAATATAGCGCATTTCGGTAACGAAATTGCGTGGCCATTAAAGAGGTAAAATTTCAAATCATAATTTGTATTACAAAATGCTTACGTCCTCAGTATTTTGTATTATATACCAGATTTGTATTAACTGCCTCGTCTCCGCGCCACTGACTTTTACACGCGTACCCCATTTTCTTCTTGGCATAGGGTAGCACGGTTCCAGGACAACGTGAACATTAAAAAAAAATAGTTTGCGGTAATATTTTGAAAATAACGCCAATCAATAAGATTCAGCTCAAATCTCAGAATTGGTAATTCCAAATTAAACGTTATTTTTAAGTGTTTGCAAATAATGAAACTGGCCCACTTTTCAACTACTTTTCAAGAACTATAAAGCAGGCCTATATAGAATGATGGATTTTAGGCGTTTTTCCGGAATGGCATTTGACTGATCCTACTAATAAAAGTAAAAGTGGGTCAGTTTTATCATTTGCAAACATTTACAAATCGATGGCTGAGTGGAAGAAAGACCTATCTCGGCAGCTAGTTTGAAAACGCCCTATCTCAGAAAATTTTCAACATCGTTCTATCTCAGAAAACTTTTCAAGAACGCCCACTTCAGAATTTGATTGGAAAACACCCTATCTCAGAATTTTGTTGAATAACGTCCTATCCCAGCTGCCGATTCAAAAACGCCCTATCTCAACTTATTTTCATTGTATTTTCATTTGAGATAGGGTGCTTTTGAACCGAGTTCGGAGATAGGGCGTTCTTCAACAAAATTCTGAGATAGAGTGTTTTTCAATAAAATTCTGAAATAGGTTGTTTTTCAATAAAATTCTGCAGTAGGGCGTTCTTGAAAAGTTTTCTAAGATAGGGCTTTTTCGAACCGGCTGCGATATAGGTCGATCTTCCACTCAGCCATCGAAATAAAGTTGAGTAATATCCATGACTCCAGTTTGGACTTTTACGAAGGATAATGACCTTACGCCCCCGCAGGAGCCAGGCCGGACTGGCTTATGGAGGAAAAACTTGGAATTTGTAATGTCCAATTCAGAGATTTGACCTTAATCTTAAACTTTTTTTAAATGTGCACGTTGTCCTGGAAGCGTGGTACCCCATCCCAAGAGCAAGATCGGGGAAGCTTGAAGAAGTCAGGGGCGTGAAGATGAGGCAGTAAATAAAACTCTGGATTATAATATAAAATACTGAGGAAGTAAGTACATTTTTAATATAAATTATGGTTTCAAATTTTGCCTCTTTAATAGCCACGAATTCTATTTAGCCGAATGCGTGACCGAGGCATTTTAGATGGATAGTCAGTTATTCAGTTAAAGAGACTTATCAGCGAATCATATTTGACCTTTTTATATTGGTTGAATAATGTAATAAGTAAGACAAAATGTTAATATAAAATTTGTTTGATAAAGTATCTGCATCCCGATTTTTTAACGGATTTGGCTTTGGTGTACAGGTGCGCTAAGTGGCTGGGCATATCTGTAAATGCGCATACTGGATAAATTCACGCCTCCAAATCATGTTGTGCTAAGTCAGAATCAGTGATCGGACTTCTACCACATTGTGGTAGATCTGCCACTTTTTTGAGCATCTACCACATCTACCACTCAAGGTCTGAAATCTACAACATATTCGCGTTTTTGAGTAGTCTTATTTTTGCTTGACATAACTTTCATAATTTTACACGATATGGTAACAAGAATGATATAATACAAGATTCCGCATTCACAGCGACGACGAAATTTCTCAAGTAAAAGTAAACAAAGCCGAATGGGAGGATAAAATAAACTGTAACATAGTAAATTTTCTCAGTAATCAATTGTTCGACAGGAAACGCCCTTTATTGTGTTAAATTGTAAAATATATGATTTATAAAAAGAATTAATAGCGAAAACGTTAAAAACCGGCGATTTTTGTGAAAGTATTAGCAAATTTAAGTGCATCTAAGGCGTTGTTTACTTTTACTTGAGAATTGCCAAAATCGGCAAATCCCAATTAGCTGTTTCTGGAACGTGCCACATTTGTTCGCTACTTCGTGATGTGATAAAAATAAAAGCTGGCAGCACTCCGCAAGGTTGCATAAATCTCTTAAAATATGTTCAATAAATATCTTAATATTGTAGGAACTGCTTTACACTGTGAAGGAAAAAAATGTTTAAAACTCAACGCAATTTTTAGCATCTTCAATCTTGCACTTTATTATACTAAAATTAAATTTTTTTAGAGTCTAATTAAAAAGTTTGCCATTTAGGTGAAACCTTGCAGAAGTTTTTTAATTTTTGTACAAAGTTGGATCCAAACCCAGAGATCTATCACATTTTTTTTTAATCTACAACATTTTTTCCCAGATTCTACCACACAGAATTTTTTTAAAGTCCGATCACTGGTCTGAATATGTCTAAAGTTACTTGGCATGGTTTGGTTTGGAGGCGTCGATATGTATGTATGTATGTTTAGTTAAATTAAAACTTAAAAATAATGTTTCTGTATTTTTAATTCCTTATATGCAACTTATTTTGTAGATGGCAAAGATGAACATCGGAAGGGATTGTTAACAATGAAAATGGCAGAAGGCGCTAAACTTCAGATGTGTTATCTTCTCCATCATCTTTATGATATACAACTTAGGCATCGAGTTGAAAGTATCATATCCTTTTCCCATGATTTTGTTGGTGATTTGCAAGCAGATCAACTTAGACGGTATATTGAAATAAAACAATCAGATCTGCCTAGTGCTGTTGCTGCTAAAAAAACTAAAGAATTCCGTTGCCCGCCTAGAGAACAGATGAATCAAATATTGTGTTTTAAGAATCTCGAATCAGATGATCAGGAAAATTGCACCTGTGGTTTGGACTTAAGGAGCAGGTTGTATGACTTTCATGATAGCCTCATGAAAAAGGTGTCCCTTAATGCTTTACAAGAGCCCGATGAAGTCGACAGCAACGCCATTGAGGAAGTAAAAACAGGACCAATTACGAAGATTTATAACTTTATAAATACAGTAAAAGAACTCGAAGAAGGACCAAAGGAAGTTGAAGAACCAGAAAAGAAAACTCCCGAGGAGGTTTTCCGCAAAGTGTTAATAAAAACTATTGTTAGCTGGGCTGAAGAATCACAAATAGAAAATCCAAAGCTTGTAAGAGAGATGTTCAGCTTATTGGTCCGTCAATATGACACCGTTGGCGAGCTGGTTCGAGCCCTTGGTAAAACTTATGTCATCAACAACAGAGCTAGGGATGATGTGGCGGAAATGTGGGTAGGCTTAAGCCAAATTCGTGCTTTGCTTCCAGTACAAATGAGTCAAGAAGAGGAAGAACTTATGAGGAAGCGACTTTGGAAATTAGTAAATAATGCGACCTTCTTTCAACATCCTGACCTTATACGAATATTAAGGATTCATGAGAACGTAATGGCTGTTATGATGAATACGTTGGGACGCCGGGCACAGGCACAAAGTGACGCTCCATCACAAACCGAAGGTGTAGAAGGAGCGCCACCAAAAGAAAAAGACACCTCTCATGAAATGGTTGTTGGTTGCTGTCGTTTTCTATGTTATTTTTGTAGAACAGGCCGTCAGAATCAAAAGGCCATGTTTGATCACTTCGATTTTCTATTGGACAATGCCAATATTTTGTTGGCACGGCCCAGCTTGCGGGGTTCCACTCCTTTAGATGTGGCATATTCAAGTTTGATGGAGAACACAGAATTGGCTCTAGCACTTAGAGAACATTATTTAGAGAAAATCGCAGTTTATCTGTCCAGATGCGGATTGCAGAGCAATTCGGAGTTGGTGGAAAAGGGGTATCCAGATCTGGGATGGGATCCGGTAGAAGGAGAACGTTATCTGGACTTCCTTCGTTATTGTGTATGGGTGAATGGCGAAAGTGTTGAGGAGAACGCAAACCTTGTCATTCGTCTTCTTATCCGACGTCCAGAATGCTTAGGGCCGGCTCTAAGAGGAGAAGGGGAAGGTCTATTTCGCGCAATAGTCGAAGCAAATCGCATGTCCGAACGCATTGCGGATAGATGCAATATGCAAGATGAGGCAGAGGGCACAATTGCTGGCTTAAATTTCACACATCCATTGCCAGAAGGAGATGAAGATGAAGACTATATTGATACAGGCGCAGCGATTCTTAACTTTTATTGTACACTTGTGGATCTTCTTGGCAGATGTGCACCCGATGCTTCCGTTATTGAGCAGGGTAAAAACGAATCACTGAGGGCTAGAGCTATTTTGAGATCTCTGGTGCCACTGGAGGACCTTCAAGGTGTCTTAAGTTTAAAATTTACACTGACGCAAACGGCGCCAGGAGAAGAAAAACCCAAGTCTGATATGCCATCAGGACTTCTGCCAAACAATAAACAGAGCATAGTTCTGTTCCTGGAGCGAGTTTACGGTATTGAAAATCAAGACCTATTTTACCGTTTGCTAGAAGATGCTTTTCTTCCCGATTTACGAACCGCCACTATTCTTGATAAGAGTGATGGTTCTGAAAGTGACATGGCCCTTTCGATGAACCGGTATATCGGCAACTCAATACTGCCTCTACTCATAAAACATTCAAAGTTTTACAACGAGGCCGAGAATTATGCCAGCCTCTTGGATGCAACGTTGCACACTGTGTATAGATTATCTAAGAACCGTATGCTCACGAAGGGCCAGAGAGAGGCAGTTTCAGATTTCTTGGTAGCCCTTACATCCCAGATGCAACCTGCTATGTTACTGAAACTTTTACGCAAGTTGACGGTTGATGTTTCCAAATTATCCGAGTACACAACTGTAGCGTTAAGAGTATGTTACCTCTGATTCTAGTTACAAAAATACTGTGATCAAACTGAAAATATTTTATGCAAAAAGGTGGACACCAAGAGCGTAAGCTTGCTATTTGTAACTAATTTCAAAAAAGAGGAGGGAGTTATATATTCTTCGTATTTTTTTTTTATAAGATAACTTTGGACCACGTGAATTATTTTCCACACATTTTTTTATCGGAAGGAGAGACCTGACCCAATAAAATTTCGTTACATTCCGATCATTGGATCATGAATAAACTAAATGTAGTGCTAAATTGTTATACAAACATTGAAGTCGGTAGTGTTTTTTGGTTATTTGCGCCATACCATAGCCATAACCATAACCATAGCATTTAAATGTTCCGTTAAAACGCGCAGCTCTCTAACGGTTATTGGTGCCGTACTATAACGCCAGAGCCACAACCAGGGATGCCGTTTGGATCTAAAGAGATCCAATTGGATACATTTTTAGACGAATTTTTGCTGGATACTTATTTTTTCCGGTCAGTATAAAGGTGGTTACTTTTTTAAATAGGCCAAAATTTCATATTTCCTATAAAGTTTTTTTCGTCCAAAAATTGATTTTCATTAAAGATGGTAGAAAGCATTACGTTTTCTAAACGTATAAAGAATCGCTACATAAGCGTGAAATTAAGGCATTTTATTTTTTGTGAACGAAGCAATGAACATATGAAGAGATCTCACCAAAATAGGTATAAGCGCAATTGCTTTAATTAGCTTAAAAGGATGCTTTATGCAAGATCTTAATATACAAATCGTCGTTTAAAGTACAAAACCGCGAATCAACAAAATGCAAAACCGCGTATCAAGATAATGCAAAACCGCGCATGTGACGTTGCATAAATTATTTTCTAGATAGTAAAAACACTTATATTTCAAAATGGTTCTCTTTTTTATAAAGCAATCGCATTTCTGGCTAGTATATTTCAGGACGAATGGATAAGGATTGAGCCAAGAGCTTATGTGAGCAAATCCAATTTTTGGCAGCAAATGTCAGTTACGCGGTTTTGTACTTTAAACGACGATATATATAAAGTAAATTATACTCTTTCCGTAGTAATCTCTTTCATATCACATATTTTCATTTGTTAATTTAAAAAGAAAGAAGATTTCAATGTAGTTTAAAAAACTAAATTTGATTTATTTAAGGAAACTTTTATGAATTTTACTGAAAAGACTTTAAATACACTCTAAAAGATTTTTGTTTATTTGCGCATATTGAGAGAGGTAACCAGTTTTCTCTTTTAATGTGTGCAAATTTGCACGCCTTGTAATAAAATTAATCATTGCCTGTTTACTTTTACATAACGAATTTGTCGCAACAGCAAAATTACACATAAAATGTTTAAAATAAAGTAATGTTTATTATTAGTAGGAAATGTATTTGTATTTTGAAAATTTTTGCAATTTTAAACATTCTATATTTGGGTATTTATGTGTATATTTTAAAGATCTCAAGTTCAAAATCAAATACTCAACAACCTATACGTATATTTATACAGATTCTTGTTGAAAAATAGATACTTTTCAGTAGTAGTTTTACATGCTCTTTTTAGAGTGTACTTGCTATTTATTATATGAGTAGTCCACTTGCAAAGTGCGCTATGTAAAATTTCTTCCATTTTTAGTGTTTGGAGGATAACGTGCCAGTATTTATAGTAGTTTCATGTCCACTAACAACACAGTGCAAAATCTTTTTTATATTCTGAAAAAATAGCATCAAATGTTAACTCTTCTTCCAAAAGTCGCTATCACACTTATTTATAAACTTTCAAAACTATACATCTTCTGATGAACTTAGAAAACTGCCTTAGGTCGTATAGACTGTTAATGTTATCTTATGTCATGTTATTTTATGTAACAATTTTAAAAGGCTCTTATTTATCCAAATTTTCAGGTAATAATGGAAAAGATTCAATTTAAATGATATTTGTTGTCATAGTCGTTTTTTCAAATTTACGGCTTTCTATTATAAAATCACATAACGCTGTTTGCAAGTGGACTACTCATATTTAATTTGCAAAATACTTATGCACAAAAAATGTACTTTATAAATTGAAATTACAAATATTTGATTTTTTGCACATGTATTCCAAGTCCTTAGGATGGGTTAAATTATGTATTTTTTATGAAAATGTTTGGTTTTCTTACAAATTATGAGATGTATATGTGAAAAAAGAAAATTGGATACATTTGGATACATTTTTGACTTGGTCAGGGATACATTTTCTTGAGACGGCGCGGCAACACTGGCCACAACCATAGCCGTAGGTATCTATTTATGGCTAAGGCGTTAAGGTGCCATACTCTAATTTGGCCTTAAATAGCAGAAGCATAAGAGTTAAAAGTTTTTCGAATAAAGTTGATTCATATCACCAAATGGATGAAAAATACATAAGTATTTATTGCGCCGTTTATAAGAGCTATTTATTTTCCAATTTTTAATTTTTACATTGTCCATTTTTACTTTATGGGAGAAATGTTTTTTCCGGTTCGGAAAGAGTTATAAGCGAAATAATAACTAATTGCTCAATAACGCTAGCTTAGAGCGCAAAGTCGCTAAGTCCAAATTTTTTGTGAAAACTCATATTTTCAAATAGAGAGCAAGTGAAATACAAAATGCATCGTTTTCAAAATTAAATTTTAAAGTATAGTTAAATCATTAATTAAATTTAAATACAGAAATTTCTATTGAATGTTCTGTACAGCGTTGCCGAAAGCTTTCGCTGGAAAATCGTCACTTTACCCTAAAAAAATCGTCATTTTGGCGAAAAAATCGTAAAATTTTTTTTTATTATATTTTTTTAACAAAATAAAAAATACAAAGGAATTACATACAATGAAATGTATGCATAAAAATAAGCAATTGCGTCGTCTTAAAATTGCATACCTTTTACTTAAATTTATTTGAATAAATTGAGTAAAAGGTCTGAAATTTTAAGAAAAAGCATTTGCTTAAATTTTATGCAGGGACCGAAAATAACTGTATGTAAAAAATTGTAAACTAAAAAATCATTATGAGAAAGCTGTCACACACATACATATATTTTTAAATGCCAAAATGCTTAATTGTATTAGCTTTTTTCAAATTCGTTTTGATTGTAAATTTTGACCCAAAAGCTAAGAAGTAGCAGTTATTTTTTAACCCATACAATTCAATTCAACTTAATGTGTTATTTTATGACTTTTATTTTTTGAACCAGAAATAAAAGTCCTATTATGACAGATATTTTTTCGGCTTTTCGGAACAGTTATACTTGGACTTTTATTTTTCTGTCCTAAAATAAAAGTCCATATATGACAGAAAATTTAATTATCCTTGAAAAAAGTCACCTTAAGACTTCGATGTGTAGGAAAACAAAATAAAACTTCTTTATTTTAATTTCCGTTTTAAAATATTTTCTGTAGAGTTTTAGGCTAGTGGAGCAGCCTATAGTCTTCTGGCCAATTCATTGTGCATGCCAAATTCTGTGCCTAGTTTGATTTTTGTTTTTCCACAAATAAAAATAACAATAATAAAACCAAATTAATTATTTTCGATGTGTCATTTTTTTGGTAACCAAATTATGTTACATATTATGTATAAACGTGTTTACAATGGCGTGTTTACTTTTAAAAACATAATTTTCCCAAATTGTCTGCTGATAAATTTGTTCTCAAATCACTTAAAACCAGGGACGTGAACCGGTTTTGAACCGGAAAACCGCTTTTTTCTATTAATTAACTGAACCATTAACCGCAACGAAGTTTTCCACAAATGTTTGATCCGAACCGAAAACCGAACCACTTTCTATAAAGGTTTAAAGGTTCGTTTCAATCAATTTTCAATAGATAAATGCACCCGTTTTTTTTCTTTTTGTTAAACATAGTAATACCTACCATGTTTGTTTACAATGTGACAATATATAATGTAAAGGCAACCCATCTCATTTGACAGACACTTGACCCTTAATTTTGCGCATTGTTGCACTTGACACTGGACACTTATAAACTTGCGCGTTATTTTTTTGTTTTTCGAACCGTTGAACCGAACCGAAACCCGGTTCAAAGACCAAAAAAACCGCTTTGACCAAAAGTGCAAAAACGGTTCGAACCGCTGAATCGAACCGACCAAATTTTTCATCCGGTTCACGTCCCTGCTTAAAACCATATATGAGACATTCTTTTTCATATTGAACACCAAATTTTGTGTCACACTTTCGATTGGCTTCAAATTTGCTTATGGGTTCTATACAAGAAATAAGCTAACACGTGTTCGAGGAACTTTTTGTACCCGAGCGCACTTGTGCACAAGGGTATTATAACTTTGTTCACATAACGGTTGTTTGTAGCAAAACGAATCGAGATAGATACAGAAAAATGTATACATAAATGATCAGAATGAAAAGAGAAATCGATTAAGCGGTGACTGTCTGTCCGTCCTCCCGCCTGTAGACACGATAGCTCAAGTAAAAATTGAGATATCTTAACGAAACTTGGTACGTGCACTTCTTTCGGGCGTAGGACGAAGAGTTACTCTTTCTGGGCAAAAGCTGACAATAACCACGCCTACCTCCCAAATATCGGTAATTTTCAGAAATACGAAAACTGCGATATTTTAGTAACTACTGAAGATTATTCACTCAAAATTGATATTTACAATAATTTTTAGACGAAAAATAAGAATATTATAAATTTTTGGAAAATGGGCGTGGCCGCGATTTTAAAATCGGAAAGCTTATTTATTCAAAATTAATGCTTTCAACAATTCTTTACCAAGAAATGTATTTGGCTCCTCCGAAAAATATGAAATTTGGAGTTGTGTCGATATTGCAGAGGACCATCGATATGTACATATACCTAGAATGAAATGAATATTACACCGTGCGACAGTCAATTTCGAATTCGCTCTTATCTTTTACAATTTCTTTAATTTCTATTACAATTTCTATTACAATTTATTCAAAATGCACTAACACATTTAACCAAAAACACTAA